TTATTACACATTTTTTTCTTTACACATCAGTGCACCTTTCATATCCCTAATTGTGTTAAGCCAAAAAAGATGGTGTTCTACGAATGTAAAAGATGGGAAAAGGGTTGTTCAGTCAGCTAAGACCAAGGAAATGGCACAGCCCTGGTTTTCTCTGCCTGGTGTAGTCAATTGCCAGTGTGTGCCTTTTCTGGCATGGATTTGAACATCTCTGGGCAAGGGTGAGAGGAGTCCCCTCTGAAGGAAGGAACTAATTAATATTTTGATTGTAGTTACTGTTCATCCCATAAGATATTGCTTAACTGGGTAGTTATCTGTGTGTTTGAGAAGAGTAACTCCTTCCAGGGGCAGAACCTCTTTGGCTATAGGAACTTGGTGATAAATAGGGAAAGGGGCTTAGGGCTGGGTTGCAGAATGTGTAGGAATTCTTCCTGGGCAGTGCCCTGTGTGTATGTTTTCAGCACCATGTATCTCAGTTAATGATGTGTGTAGTTTGAAACACATTGGTGCCTGTGAGGCCTCTGGCCTTGACCATGGTAATTAAATCTCACATAAATGGTAACCAGATGACATGCCTGTCTGCAGAATTAAGAACAAATTACATGGACCATAATTGAGGGGTTTTTTTTAGACTGTTACATTTGTACTCAGCTGCAATTCCAAGCAGTTCTTTGTCTTAGTTCTGTGATACAATTTCTGAGTTAGGATAGTGAAGTGAAGCCAAATTCCAGGTGTTAGATAGTTTTTCTCAAAGAAATGAGGTGTCATCAGTTTTACTGACCAGGATATTTCTGAAGCAGCTAAATGTGGTAGAAGGCCTTGTTTCCCTTTGTTTGAATAACTGCTGCATTTGTATGAAGGTTTATGAGAAACATTTTAATGCTGCAGGAGCTGGCATTTCCAGTGGACCTGCCAAGAGAGGAATCCCTTCCTCTGAGGCAGCACAAATCAAATTAGCGAGGACTGAGTTCTTTCTTCTAATTGTAGGAGTTCTGTCAAATCTGTTTAATACTGAGATACAGCTGACCCACTTGTGTTTGGCACGTGTCAGTGACCAGAAAAAAGCACAAGGTTCCTCCTTTGTTTAAGTTTTCAGCTTTGGTTTTGTTAAAAAGCTAACCAACCGTTCATTATTTTTATCTGAATTATTTTTTCAGTATATTTTATTGCAAGTAAAATATCTTGCTGCAGTTTCTGTTATAGCTGAGACTTAAAATTGTCCTTGAAGGCTTGTAAATTAAGACATTTATGAAAAGAGAAAGAAAGGGAAAGTATTTTCTCTGCAAATTAGGTGTGTTGGATGTTACTGTGGCATTGTTAATAACTGAATGCCATTAAGTTCGTGATACATTTGCACATTAAATGGATGTGAGGCTTGTGAGGGGATTGGTTTGAGGAGGGAGCTGGTCAGAGGATGTCAAGGTTGGAAAGAAATTATCAGTTCTGTAGGACCAGAACTGCAAACAAAGTCTGAGCTCTGGGGCCCTGGGAATATCCTGCTTTTAACTAGGCTGCAGCAACTGGTCTGCAAAACTACGATGAACGTGACTGTGTGAGTGGCAAAATGTTACTGTTGGATTCTGGCTTTTTTTCACTTGGGTTTTTAACATGTTATCATTTCATAAGCATTTGGATAGAGGCGTAATGATGTGTCCTCATGTCTCCTGTGCTATGACTGTTAAGGAGTGCAAAGAATAATTTTTTTAAAAAGTCTCTCCAAAACCATTCCCTGGGAGTTTAAAGTGACTTGTTGGCAGAGGATGTTCTAGCTGAGATTAGCAAATCCATGTGCAGGCAGGACACAGCTCCCTCTTGTCAGGAGGACTCCTGTGTTAGCACAGTCTGTGTCTGGGTGTTAAAGGCATGGAGTGAGCACTCCTTGCTGGAGTGGCTGCTGCCTGGGTGTGACAGTCACACGGGTGGGTGTTGGAACTCTGGATACTGAGAATTTTAAACTTTCTGTGCTGACGAGCACTGACCCTCAGGAAAGCATTGCTTTTGACCTGAGGCCTTGGAAAAGGCTTCCAAAATTGGATAATAGAACTAAGATCATTCTGTGTTGTTTAAATAGAAGTGTGTAATATCACATGGTGGAAAATTTAGAATTTAAGATTTTGAAATATAACAGTATATAGAGAGCAAAATAGAAGTTTTGGGGCGGAGGTTTCTTTCTTCTTTACTTTCTTTATGAGTCTAAGTAGGACCTTGTTTAATTGGATAGAAAATTCCGCATTACAGGTCATGGGTGTTTAGTCATTGAGTCAAAAGTAAAAATAATTTAGGTGTTAGTTCTTAATTAAACAGTTTGGGTTTAAAAAAACCTTGTAAGGAAAAAAACCACATTGCCATTTCACCATTTTTAGCTTATTAGCTAGAAGTGCTGTAGCACTCACTGTAACATAAACATTAATGAACATCTAACTGTGAATATGAAGTAGCATCTCTCGAACTTTTAATCTCAACTCTAGCAGAAAAGAAAAAGCCCAAAAAAATACAATATGAAATGGTGCCCTATGTGAGGATCAACACAATAGGTGGGACTCTTCCAGAGCTGCCACTGGAGAGCTTTGTCTCAGCAGGCCCCCCAGGATTTCAATCCACATTTCAGGCAGAATATCACTTCTGGGAAATGCTGTGGCAATTTCTATACCCATAGGAGAAGGAAGTAATCAAAGTTTTGCATGGCTAAAAACCAGCCAATGGTATTCTTCAGTTCACCATGAGAGAGTGAAAATAGCACAGCTTTCTACAGTTTTACAGTCTTTTTATAAATTTTTTTGGAACCCAAAGGTTTTAAGAAAGTGGGGATTAGTATGGCTGTCAATGGAGGAGATGAGAGGAAGAAATAGTTTTGCATGGAACAACCTTTGCATTTACCAACAGCTGGAGGAGGGCTGTGGCATTTGCCCTCACTGCTGTGTTTTCTTGTTAGGCTTTTTGTCAGCAGGAAATGGAAAATACTCATTAGAAGTATGAAATGATTGAAAGAATGTGTCTTGCTGGGTACATTTTAGGTTTTAATTTTTTATGACTTATTTCAGCTGTTAAAACTGGGCTCTTTTTCTCCTGACTTGATTCCAGCTGTTAAAATACCAGTTTATAACAGGCATTTCTGGTATTCCTTCTTATTGGCATGAACTTGAATTCTGTACCACTTTATTTCTTACTTTTAAATATCATTTCATGATAGATTCCTGACTTCCAAGTGATTACTGGATGATAATATTGTGCACAGCCTGTTTTCTCTCCTCTGTAGTCATTGGCCAGAGGCAAATGACCTGTTTTTCAAGTTTTGGCAGCCCCTGGAATGATGCTAGTATCTGTATAACTGGATCAATGCCTGGAGGAGCTGTTTGGAGCCTGTAATTTGCTGACATGACATAATTTTTTCCCCCCATTATTACATGATTTAAAACCCCTCTAGCACAGTAATTTAAAGCAATTTTATTCTTGAAATATCTTACATAAGGAAAAAAAACACAGATGACATTGTTCCAAGATTATTGTGTATTTTCTGTTTAATTCTGTCAAATACATTTGAGTGCCATTGGGTTGGGTTTTTTTAATTTTTCTGAAAATATGTATCAATTGCTCAAGGAGATGTAGATTTTTGTATAACATTGCAGAGAATCAATCTGGCACAGCTGGTGAGTTTTCACTGTGTATGTGGTAAACAGCAATAAGTGAGGCCAGTGTAGCTTTGGCTGTGTGCAGGTCATTTTTTTGCATGAATGTACAATATGCTCCATGCATACAGTAGGTCTAAATAAATACTTATTTCAGAGAGGCCCAACTTGGAGGGTATCTCCACTACTCTCTAGTTTTTTTTTTTTTTATGGATTGCACTCAGCTCCTCAAGACCCATTCATTTAAATCAAGGTCAGTGGCAGTAATCTCTTGGTGCAATGTCAATCTCAGTTATAGTGAGGATAACATCATGAAATTGAAGTATGATTTTGGGTAGATACATTTCAAATAACTTAAGATGACATTTGACCTAAATAGAAATGCATATTCATGATGAATGTATTTGAAAGTATTAGGATCCAAAGTAGTGCAGTGATATTGAATAGTAGCATATCTGTAACCAAAATACTGGAAAATCTATTATTTAAAATATTTTTAACAGTGTAGATATTTTAATTTGTAACAACAAATTAACTCTGTTCTGGAAATAATGTGGAATTCTGTCCCTTTTCATATACAGTGAAAAGACTCCCCAAGAGTTTATTTGCCATCAGGATGGAGAGAAATTGAATGTGATTCAGAGCACCTTGTGACTGTTCTTCAAGGGGATTTAATATTTTCAACATAATTTTTAGTCAATGTAATTATGATCTCTGCAAGACACTGTGGTATTTATCAGATCCTCTAATTAGAGAAATACTGTTCAGAAGTTGCAATGTAGGAAGGTGAAAAGTAGCCCAGTGCAAGTCTGCTGGGAGATGGTAGCTTAAAACAGTGTCTGGATTCATTCAGTTGCTTTATAATAATGTTACACATGTAAATATAAATGTGTTGTCCCACTGTCTGTAGACATCAGGTTCTCTGCCTTTACCAACTCAAGGTGCATCTTGAAATGTGTGTGCCAAGCCAAGGGTTGGATAACAAGACCATCTGCATTATCAGTGTGATATTGCAGAGCACAGTTAATCTCACCTTGTCACAGGTGCATTCTTCAAGCTTAAACAAAAAGGAGATGATTGCTTTGTAATTTGGTTTTGAATGCTTTATTTAGTTTTTTCTTTAACTGTTATTATATTATAGTTATTATATTTGATGAGTTTGATAAACACTTTTTTATACCTTTGTGCCTTATCTTAAGTTTTTTGTTTCCCCCTTCTCTGGGGTATATAATTGCATTATATACCTTTGGCCAGGGATAGAGATCCACTGTGCAGTGGATGAATAGCAAAGACCTGAACTCCAGGACTTCTTTACAAAATTATGGTCCTTAGTTGTGATGTATTATCATGACTCCCTGCTTTTCTTTTTGTCAATAGGATCTGTTTTTACACTAAAAGTTCAAGTAAATGACATCATCAGTCATCAATACCTGCGACAAGCGGTGGTAGAGGTGTTTGTTAACTACACCCTGACAAATTCTACTCTTACTGGAAACAATGGAGCAGTGTTAATAAAAATCCCCTACAAATTAGGATTAAGCTTAACTATTGTCTCATACAAGGATGGCTACCTGCTGACACCTTTGCCTTGGAAGACTGCGAGAATGCCAAGTACGTAAGCGTCTTACAGACCTATTATTAAACTGTATCTAGCAGTAATTAAATTTCTCTCCTAAGCTGCCTGGGTGGTTGCTGTCAGCTGGACACAACTCGGTGAAGTCAGTCAAGGGAGGTGGTGTCTGTCAATGCAGATCTAAGGGTGAACGGTCTGTTAAACCTGTCAAAATTCTGATTAATCTAAAACAGAAAATAGCCCTTTTAAAGTCTAAGTGGGTTATGTTGTGACATGCAGTGAATTCTTAGAAATTTTTTGACTGGAGTTAGCAAAGAGCTGTTAATGTGTTCTGACAAAAATCCTGTTGACCTGAGTGATTCTTGCAGTGCCAATGCTTTTTGTCTTCTAAGACAGGTATAACCTGGTACAGCTCCCCTTCAGCAGTGTTTCCTCACAGGTTTTCTTGTTTAACTACTGCATGCTTTTAAAAAGGCACATGATTTTTTTTAAAAAAAGAGACTTTTAAGAATTCTAGTCACTTCTTTATGCATAGAAGGTATAAAACAGTAGCAAACATTCTACAGAGGTCTTTCTGCCTCAACACTAAAATTGCTGCTCTGGAAAATAGGAGTAATTTATTTAGTCTTCATATGCTCTCTGGTTTATCAAGTGCTCTGTTCAATAGTTCTTTAGATTTAGAGGCCTTGGAGGATTTGTTTTTGGTTGCACAGTGTAACAGATATCATAATTTTCCACAGTATACTCGTTGGTGACACTCTCGTTATTCCCACAAAGTCAAGCTAATATATGGCTGTTTGAAGATACTGTCTTAATTACTGGAAAACTGTCTGGTAAGTTCTGTATATGCAGACTGCAACTAAACACTTTGTGATAGCCATCTGTACCCACATGGAAAAAAATTAAACATCATCTTATTCTCATATATTACCTATCTACTTAAAGCCAGATTTTCTGTTAATTACGTAGCTGTACGAGAGGCTGGGACAAGTGCTAGACTGGAAATACACAAATCATGCATGAAAAATGGGTGAAAACAGGTTGTTATGCTAAGTGGATTTCTGAAGAGCAATAAAAACATTGTTTGTATGTTTTACTGTGGCTAAGACAAAATATTACTCTTTTACAGATGTCAAATCTCAACCGAGTGTTCAGTTTCCAAAATCTTTACTAAAGCTTCCAACAAATCATATTGCAAATGTTACAGCTTATCTGACAGTGCCAGAGCAATTTTTGAAAGTGGACAGCTTTCTCCAAACAACAGGAATTATTCTAAATAAGTCAGGTATGTGAGTATGGTTAAGATGGTTAGGAATTCTTATAAAGAAAGATTATAATATTATAATGCATATGAGTGCACAGCGTTTCAGAAAACCATATGCTTAATTTAAGAGGGCCTGAAACCTGCTTCCATTGTATTAGGTCAGAAAGATTTGTTCCACAGGAGTAAGCTATAAACACATCAGGTGAGTAATCAATGCACTCTATTTTGGTCCATGCAGTATAAGAACAAATTTTGCTGCACTGAAATACAACTTCAGAGTCTGCTTTTTACATTTTTATATATCTGTGTATATGTATGTATGTTCATGATATCAAGTGACTGTGGAATTGGTTTAGTAAACACCTTAAAAATCCAATTATAGCCAGACTGTAAAGTAGGTAAACCTCAAGAAATCGGTGAAACAGGAGCAATTAACTTCAGCTGTGGAGTTTGTGCATTTTCACTGGAGTGATTGGTTCTAGGGGTTACACCCAGCACAGAGATTGCATGGAACCCCTGCTTGGCTCACAGACAGTCTGGGCACAGTTGTAATAATGTTTTCTGTGCATCTGTTTCACTGGAGAAGCACTAAGTGGTTTCATGAGTCGTAACTCTGCTCTTATACCATTAGATTTCTTTAGTGTTTGTCATTCTATCAGATAGTTTTTAAATTTGCATAAGTAGGTTTTAATTTGCATCTGGTAGTTGTGCTGTGTGCAGTTCCATCTTTCTTTTGTTCTTTTCTTTGTATTCCCAGGGGATCTGAAGCCGTGAGGCTCTTAAATTCATCATGGTGCAGGAAGAGCATACTACGTGGCTTATTTAAGCTCATCATACTCCATTCTTTAATTTTCATTCCATTAAAGGCAGCATCTATACTGATATTTTGACATAGATATTTTAAAATCTTTCTTGTCTGTAGTTCACCTCTTTAAATGGAAGGCAGAAGGAAAGAAGCATAGGAGAATAAGCAGTGTTTATCCTCTTTGAGTTTTCCCTTCAATCTGTCTGGCATGTGTTTTAAATTATTCATATACCCCTAAAGGAATAGGCTTCCTTTTAGGGCAGGTGGAAGCTAATTGATATCTGATGTGCCAGGAGTTCTCTCACAACCAGCTTCCAACAGCCTGCATAGATTTAACATTATTCTGCTACTTAGTAATTCTGTTTCAGCTTCTCTCACCATCCTGTCATACTGGGCATTTTGGAGCATTTGCAAACTGGTGAAAGGAAAACAAAGGAAAGAAAATTTCAAGCTGCTTTGTAAATGCAACATTTCCTCTGAGTGCTTTGACAAGCCTCATGATTAACTATTCACTTAATTCTGTCTGCCAAATTAGGAAATTAATCCTTACAGGAGAGGTTCCATATGTTTCAGTTTCATTCAATGTTATGTATACATTGTGATAATACCAAAATTCTTGTATGATCTGTATTTCACATCAATTAGGTGTTTTGTAATCTGATTATCTGAGGGGAAAAACCCTTCCTCCTCTACCTCAAAAACGTTTTGTCTCATCGTTAGTTCTAAGGTCAGCATAGAACCTGGATGCTGCAAATCTGTTTCTCTTATAGCACTGGTATAGAAATGACTGTGCTTTGTTTTAATCATAAGTTGTTAAAAGTTCAGAAGAAAAGTAATCTTGGTTTTTATTTGACCAAGTTGATAACAGCTGACTGTAGCTGGAGGTGGATGAGGGCTTGCCTTTAGTGGCTTAATTCTTAATTTATTTCTTTCTAAATAAACTGTGAACAGAGAATTAAAAGATATTTCTTGCCTTCAGGTTTCAAAAGCATGGAATTAACCCCTCTTGCTGCCGTATGTGTAAATGTTCTTTTGGCTGGGAAAGAACTGAACATAAATGGTCCCATTCAGGTTACACTTCCTCTTCCCACAACTACTGCAAAATCAGGAGATGCTGTACCTGCCTGGACATTTGATATGAAAATTGGTAAGTGGGTTATTTGTTATTTTGCCTTCTAGCACATGCCTGTAGTTTTGGGCACATGGCACTGTGGCTCATGGAACAGTCATGGCACTATTCTATGAGGTGATGGTCAAGAGATGGTCAATTTTTAAAATGGACTAGCTTTAGTTGTTCAAAGGTATTTCCCTGCCTTCACTAGTTCAAAAAGTTTTGGCAAGATTCACTAGCATTCCTCTTGCCTGCATTTAGTGTACTGGATTTTTTTTTTTCATGGGAGGCTGACTGTTCACAGAACATATATTTTAGGTGATGCTAAATTTCAAGCCTAGTAATTTTGTGAATTCCTTCTTGAAAGAAAGCAAACCAGAATTGAAGATTTGGATGCTTTGTTTCCAGAGTGAAGCTCTAAAGATCCTTTGATGCTAGAACTGGAATAGATACTGCTTCAGTTAACAGAAACAATTCAGGAAGTGAAATGAAGGGGAAATAAGAGTTATCCTAGGGAACAACACAGTTCTTCCAGTATGCAAAGAGAAGGCTGGGGATTAGTCATTCTAAACCTTTTGTCATCCCTTCACATCTAATTTTAATCAAGAGTGAGTAATGAGCTGTGTCCACATAACCCATTTAATGACCTGTATTAGGTGTGGGTGCATTAGTGTCCTGATTGTGCTAATTGCACCTCAGGTCACCATCACACTTCAGCTTGAAACAAGTGAGTGAGGAGGTCACATCTTGCTCCTTATCAAGGCAAAAAGCTTTTGTTTAGCAGTTGGAAGTACAGGACAGGGACATCAGCTCTAGCAAAGTGTTGTTTACATGTTCAAGAAAGAAACTGATCACCCTTAATGAAAAAACCTGAAGAGCATGGATTTGAATTAAGGATGTGCTAATAAAATTTGGCTGGGCTGTCTTGTTGGGAAAAAGTAAATAGGATACGTTTTAGCATAGAAAATTAAGTCTGTCTACACACCTAGAAGACTTTAGAGGGGTAATTGGTAGAAAGAGATGGCACTTTTCTCCAAAGAAAGGGTTTTAGTCTGAGGTGGTAAAATATCAGCCAGGGTTTAAATTTCTTACTGCCACACTTTTGCCAGCTCCTGTGCTCATCCTTTGCTAAGCTGTTTGGCCTCCCTAAACAAAGCTAAGTCAACACTGTTGTTAAAACAAAGAGTTGACAGAACTGGAGCAGCACAGGATCAGGTTGGAATATAAACCAGTGTTTATGTGGGTGTTGAGGGTCCTACTCAGCATCCCTGCATAGGCCTTGGGAGTAAAACAGGAGCCAGAAGCATGGCATGCTGATCCAAACCCCAATAAAACCAGTTGTTTTTTCCTCTCCAATGGGATGTACTTTACAGAGATTCCATAAAGGCAAGTTGTTTGTAATGGATGCTCTCTGAAGTGTATTGTTCACATGGAGCCTTTGCTGCTGCTTGCTGAGGAGAGGGAAAGGAGGATGGCAAAAAAACCCAGCACCTTTGGGGCATAATTTAACTTTTTCTCCCATTTCTTCCTCTTTAACAGTAATAATTTGCAACTGTGTTCATTTCCTGGATGCTTATTCCTAAGTACATTCCTTTTATTTTTTTACCTTTGACCTGACACATGTAAAATGACTTTTTCCCAAGGTAACTGAGTAATAGCAAGGCACGTTTCAGTCAAGGTCCTGGTGACTGAGGGCAGCTGAATACCTCAGCTCTGCAGCAGGCATTCCAGAGCATCCATAAGGAGCAGTAGGCCCCCATCTGAGCTGAGTGCAGAGCTCCTGCTGCACTCAGTAATGAGGCTCTGGCCTCCAAGATGTCACATGCAGGATGTCCCCAGCAAGACACCGACACAGTTTTAAACTCTGAAGTCCTTGGGTAATGTGTTATGATGGTAATCAGAGCTCCCATGTCAGCATTGATACTGGCAAGGGAACAGGGCTGTGTGTGATGTGGTGTGGGCTGACCCATATGCTGCAGGGAAAAAAGAGAAACTGCTTTCACAGGTCTGCCTGTGCAGTGTTCCCAGGGCTTACTCCAAGTGGAGTAGTACTGAGACTGTTCCTGGAAAATGAGCTTTGGTAATTGTACTCCAGCTGCTGTAAAAGCAGAATTTGTTCATCTATATTGAGTGTGGCTTCCTTCGTACGAAATATTTTGCTGCATTAGTGCTAAAAGTACTTTGTGGATTTTATTATCATTACAAAAAAACAGAAAGCGTGCATTCAACATTAAATTGAGAATTATATCCTTCTTCTTGAATGTCAGTAAGCCATAGAGAAAATGGGCTTAGTCATGAATCAGATTTTTTTGTCTTAGTACCAAGTATTTTCTATGGAGTATATTGGGGGAAGATAAAATTTGCTGAAAAGGACAGCAAGCATTGTGTAACTTCTTACGGATTTGTTCAGTCAAGATAGAATTTCTGGAGACCTAGAAATTATTTTTGCCTTTTCTGCAATGTTTGCTGATATTACTCCTGACTCTGGACAAGGTTTCTCAGGTGGCTGAGAAAGCACTTTCAGAGCTCTAGGTGATTGCTGCTGCCTTTCCTTCCCCTCTGTCAGCCATCACAAGCACCAGCAGAGTCTGCATGTTTTACTGCTAAATGATACTTTCTCTGTGCCTGTGCATGTAAGCATCTGTGGCAGGTGTCCATCCTCATCTTTACCTCCTGGCTGGGAGATATGTCCTTTTCCTTTGCTGAAAGAAGGGTCCTGGAAGAAAATCCAATTGAATTAATATAAGCTCCAACTTACATGAGTTACACTGTTTTCATACTTTGATTATTGGTGTTTTTAAAATGCTGTTGGTTCTCTCTACCTCTCAGTATTTGCAGGTTAAATATGTAAGGTTGTTTAACATAAGGCTGTTTTCTGCCCTTAGAATTTCACAAATGGCCCACAATAAATGTGTTTAAGTGAGTTAAGTATAGTTCCCTCTCTTCTCATGGATGCTTTATTAATTGTAGAAGCTGGCATATCATAATATCTTTCCTTTTCATTGCCAAACAGATGGTGTGGAATCTGTGTCCTAACAATAGCACTTCCTTGGGCTAACTCAAGTGTTGCAGCCTCGGGGCAGGGAGGAAGAGAGAAACATTCAAGACAAACATTGTTTATCCAATTGTGGCTTTATAAGATTAAAATGTTTCCCCACTAACTTCTGCTAGCTGATGTTAAACTTGTGTTCATATTCAACAGTTCCCTGCTCCCTCACCTTTTAGTCTTGGCCTTAATGCATGCTGAAAGTCATGTAATAAGCATTTTCAAATTAATTATGTGCATATTTGTGAAAGACAGTTATTAATAGAAAAGGAATCATATTAAGTTTACTTCTGGTAAGTAGTGTTGATGCTTTGTTTCACAGTAAACGGCCACAGAGAGATATTTGCGATGAAATTGTCAGGAGAGGAAGTTTGCCTGTTCAGTTCAAGCTGTGTAATAAACCGTGGCTAGGTCAGAAGTTTCAGTTTTTCCCATGACCTTGTGTATTTTGGTAATGGCCTAATTGCTGATGGTTTGAGGTACAGAAGAATGCTGCATGGCACGTGCAAATGTTTTGTCCTTTTTTTTTTTTTTTTCACAGGTGCTTGGGTAAACCGTGGGCTGGGAATGGTCAAGGAAGTGGATGGTCAGTTAGTATGGACATACACTGCTCAGCACTTGGGCTACTGGATAGCAGCTCCACTGCCTGGAACCAGAGGTATGGCAACAACTGGCCAATAAATTGCTGAGTTCCCCATGTAAAGCTGTCAGTTTGATTGCTTCATTTAACAGCAGGAAGGGAGAAGTGACATGCAACTTCACCACTTAGATAACTTTTGTTTGAGTCCTTACAGTGATTTTCTTGCAAGTTTTGTAAATTCATATAAAGGGATCCATCAGAGAAACAGTGTGGCTAATTCCAAAACCAGATAGCACTCTCTGACAGGGTTCTAACTAGAAAATGTAGACCACTTTTCTAAGTTAATTTGGACAATTAATACAAATATAATTTGTCTGGATTGAAGCAGATGTCTTGGTAAGGCTTTAGTACTTGAGATGAACCTGTCATTATATTGTAACCTGTTTGTATATTTTCTAGTTTGCTGAAATAGCAAGGTGAAAAGGGAAGGATGAACATAATGCCATTGGAACACAAAATCACTGGAAAAGTACTGTTCAGTTTATTAGCTCTGCATATCAAGTGGAATAATTTGGTTTTAAGAACTAATGCTTGTCTGGTTTTGTTTGATGATCTAGAATCCATTATTAGTGCTGTTTCCAAGGACATAACAGCCTATCACACCATGTTCCTTACGGCCATATTGGGAGGAACTGTTGTCATTATCATTGGATTTTTTGCTGTTCTTCTTTGTTACTGCAGGTAAGCAAAAGAAGTTCCAGTGACCTCATTATGAGTGGAATTTGAGGTTGATAAAATAGTCTTTTGAGGTTAAGACTTGTTTTCTTAGCTAAACTCTCATGTGTAGCCTAATTTTTTTTTAAATCACAGTTGTTACAGAACTTAAAATTAAGTTTGTGATGTCAAATTACACTACAACCTCTTAACCAAAGTCTAACCTTCAGCTTTAATAGTCAACAGTCCAGTACTTCCTATTATGCTCTGCAGTCACCTCGTTTCTCTTTTGCATAGGGATAAATGTCATCGGACACAGAAGAAGGAAAAAAACACAACCAAGCTGGAGGTCATAAAAAAAGACCAGACAACGTCAACAACTCACATAAATCACATCAATGCTGTCAAAGGGTCTTTAAAGCTGGAGGATAAGTCACAGTTATATACAGCAAAGAGTTCTTCATACAGCCCTCAAAGAAGGCTGTCCATAGACACAGAAGATGGAAAATCACAAGACAATTTTAAAATCTACTCAGAGGATGCTTCTTATCAGTCATCCTGTCAGACTGGTCAGGCAGGAAATTCAGCCCATTCAGTGGAGCCCAGTGCTGGAGTGAGGCTTTTACAGCAGCCAAAGCACAGCAACAGTGCTATTCCCCAGGCTCCTAGGGATATTCCAGACCAAAACAGATACCTTTCACTGAAAGAGGAGATGTATGGGCTTGCCCATATCCCAGAACATCTAATGCATATTTACAATCAGCCTATTGCTATTCTTCAAACCTCAGACCTTTTCCACTCCCCAGAACAACTGCATCCTGCTAAATCAGCAACGTTGCCAAGGAAAGGGCAGTTGGTGTACGGCCCCATGATGGAACCCATGAATCGTGACAGTTACATGCAAACACTCCCCAAAATGCCAGGGCACTCCCATCCCCAGCCCTCTGCCTGCAGAGATGAGAACAGTGCCCTGGATGGTGAAGAGGGCTTACCTTCCCAAACATCCAACTGGGGCAGGTACACCAACAGCTTACTGGAATCTGTCTCTGTTCCTGGGACATTGAATGAAGCAGTTGTAATGACTCCGTTCTCATCCGAACTTCAAGGGATTTCAGAACAAACGCTGCTGGAACTCTCTAAAGGAAAACCATCTCCACATCCTCGAGCATGGTTTGTGTCCCTGGATGGAAAGCCAATTGCTCAAGTGAGGCATTCTTTCATAGATCTGAAAAAGGGCAAAAAAACTGAGAGTAATGATACCAGTCTGGACTCTGGTGTGGACATGAATGAGCATCATCCTAACAGGAAACTGGAGAGAGAGAAAACTTTCATTAAAAGTATGCCACATTCTAAGATTCTTTACTTGGAAGATCTGGATCTGAGTAGCAGTGAAAGTGGGACCACTGTTTGCACTCCAGAGGACCAGGCTGTGAGACACATTATGGAAGGAGGGAATGGGCGAGTCCTGGAACAGCACGATGAGGAAGGTCTAAGGAAAAAACCTCTACCAGGAAGTCATGAGTCTGGTATCCCTTCTGCTAAAAAAAGGGATAGACCACCTCTCATGAAAAGAGATAGCAAAACCAACATCTGGAAGAAAAGAGAGGAGAGGCCTCTTATTCCCATAAATTAAAACACAATGTGCTTTGTGCTGTTGCTCTCCCTGCTGGTTGTTGACCTCTTGCCTGCTTCTGTAATTCTGCAGTGTTGGGTTTACATGGGAAATGTTGATTTCTAGTATCAAGAAAAGTTTCATTTTTTTAACGTACAGATTTAAGTTACCAAACTTCATCTGGGCAATTGATATTCCATGTGAATTGAAAACAGGGAAATGCTACTATTAAACTTTTCCAGTTCCTAATTTTACCGGCAGTAGGAGGAAGGCCCACATTTTACTTAGCCCATCATTCTTGGACACACCTTTGGGAATGCACAGTGAGAAATGTAGGCACATGATTTAGTTTTTTTGTACTTGTAGCTAATGCAATGGTAGCCTAGTTAAAGCCATTCCTCGGCCTTGTTCCTAATCAACCTGACCATCTGTACAGTATTTTATATGTGAACTTTTCTAGGGATCCCTTACTACTTTGTAAAATGTGAAATGTTTCATCCGTTGGTCCTGTGACACCAGCAGATGAGCTCTGTTGGATTTATCAGCAGAGCTCTATAGCGTTGCTTCCCTCCCTGTGTGCCCATCCATGTGCAATTCCATACAACAGTGGGGGAAGGGAAGGGTACAAGTGTGGCTGCTGCAGTTCATGGTCCCCTCTATCTTCAGTTGCTGCCCATCTGCTTTGTTTAAATCTGCTTTGTTATGGCCCGTGGATGTTGAGGACTGGCATCAGCTGAGAAGGGTCCACATCTAGCAGAAAGGAACTGGTTCTGGTAGCATTTGAAGCTGCAGCTACTCCTCATCCCAGTGTCTTGTTTTGGCTTCTTTGTCAGTGAACATCTCTGCATGCTGTTGGGCCAGCTGTGCTCCACAATATAGCCTTGAATCCGTGCATATTTATAAGTGGGAATTTGGCCCTTGATGAAGTGTGCAAGATTAGACAAATTATGCCTTGGAAATAGTTTCTTGAGCAGGAAATCTCGGCACTGTCGCTTTTTATTTTATGTTTAAAACAATGGCCGATCATCTGAGGTTTATGTGCCTACATTTTGCCAGCCTGAGCTGCTTTTGTCTAGGTTTGCAGAGGAATTAAACAGGCTTTAAAAATTGGGGGGGAGGGTTATGAGCATGAGACAGCAGATTGCAAAATTTGGTCTATAATGCAATATAAATACTATTTATGACTCATCTTAGAGTTAAATTTACCAAAAGTCATGAATGCATGAATTGTAACTAAGATATGTATAGAGGAAGGAAAGGCCATCAGGATATTCTTTAATTTTAATGTTCATCTTGTCAAAGTGATCATTTCAACTTTGGCTAACAGAAAAATGGATGCATCTCTTAATGTGCTTCATATAGGAAACAGAATGTATTTCTGTGGCTTTGAGGCTGTTTCCCTGGTGAAATAAGTTCCAGTATTTTGGCTTTGGCAGTTTGATTATAAATCATCCTAAAAAGGCTTTATAAATATTTCCCTTAGAGCTTGGTTAAGGTTCTGGACCAAGACCCAAACATACAATGCCTATATTTGAATTGTGATGTGAGTGGTGCTTGGTTGCCTGCCTTGTAGTACATTCAAGAGTTGGGAAGTATTCTATACTGGGCTTCTGGGAATATTTACTCAGGAAATATAACTGTGAAATATGTCTGTTGTGTTGGCATTGTCAGTTGTCTGGTGCTGTTTCTAGAAGAATATGGAAGGTAACCAGGATGGTTTCAGCAATGCATCAGTCCAAACTGAGCATTTGCTTCATGAACAAAATGTTCCTATCAAGTTCAAAAGTATGAAAGTGCAAATTATATTTGATATAGGTATGTGTGTGGTGGGTTAACTTTGGCTGGATGCCAGGTGTCCATCAAGCTGCTCTAGTGCTCCCCTTTTCCAGCTGGTCAGGGGAGAGAAAATAAGATGGAAAACAACTCCTAGACTGAGATAAAGCAGTTTGCTAAGGCAAAAGCAAAAGTCTGCATGTGCACAAAGAGGAAAAAAATAGGTTTGTTCTCTACTTCTCATCAGCAAGCAATGAATGTGTGGCTGCTTCCTGGGAAGCAGGGCTTCAACACGTGTAGTGGTTGCTCCGGAAGGCAAACCTTGTAAATAACAAATGCTCCCACTTCCTCCTCCTTTCCTTAGCTTTTATATCTGAGCTGATGTCACATGGTATGGAATATCCCTTTGGATAACTTGGGTCAGTTTAGTTGTGTTCCCTGCCAGGATCTTGCCCAACCCCAGCCTGCTGATTGGTAGGGAATGTTGGGAGTGAGCACTGATGCTGTGCCAGCCCTGCCCAACAGTGGCCAAAACACTGGTGTGTTATCAACACCTTTCCAGCTCCCAATGCAAAGCACAGCGCTGGGAAGGCTGCTATGGGGAATGAACTCCAGCTCAGCCACACCCAGTATCCATGGGCATCACCATCACAGGTGGGAATCTCAGCTTTGGTGCCTGGAGCATTTCCTTCCCCTCCTTTGGCACTGACCTCGGTGTCTGCAGAGTTGTTCCTCTCACATGTTCTCACCATGCTCTTCTCTGGCCACAATTACATCTGCACAGTAACTTTTTTTCCTTCTCAAATCTGTTGTCACAGAGGTGTTACCATCATTTCTGATTGGCCCAGCCTTGGTCAGCAGTGGCTCTGTCCTGGAGCTGTTGGCATTGGCTCTGCTGGACATTGGGGAAGCTTCTGGCAGCTTCTCACAGAAGCCACCCCTGTAGAGCCCCCACTATCAAAACCTTGCCACCCAAACCCAATACACACGGTGAAGCAACTGTCCCCCTGCAACCCATGGAGTGCAGATATCCACCTACAGCCTGTGGAGGATGCCTGGAAGAGGCTGAGCCCATGGGAAACCTGTGCTGCAGCAAGAGCTGTGGAGAGAAGAGCCCATGGTGCAGCAGGTTTCCTGCTAGGACTTGTGGGGGACTCACACTGGAGGCAGGCTGTGCCTGAAGGACTGCAGCCTCTGGAAAAGTGAGCCACCTTGGAGCAGTTTGTGGAGAGCTGTTTCCTCTGAGGACTCAAGTTGGAGAAGTTCATGGAGAGCAGCCTCCTGTGGGAGGAACCCTGAGCTGGAGCAGGGGAAGGACCTCTGTCCCTGAGCAGTGGCAGAAACCACGAGTGATGAACTGACCCATTCCTGTCTCCCTGTGCCACTGCTGGGAGGCAGTAGAGCTGGGAAAGAGGGACGGGTGGGGAGAAGGTGTTTCTCAGATTTATTTTATTATCCTGCTCTGGTTTTGTCAGTAATAAATTCAGTTAATATCCCCAAGGTGAGTGAGTCTGTTTTGCCTGTGACAGTATTCAGTGAGTGATCTCTCCCAGTCCTTTTTTCAGTTCAGGAACCTTTCATTGTATTTTCTCTCCTCTGTCCACTTTGTGCAAGGGATTGGTAAGAGTGGCTTTGGTGAGTGCCTGGCATCTCGCCAGGGCCAAACCACTACAGTGTGCAAATAAGTCTGTAATTAAATTGGCCTGAAGAACCTAAAAGAGATTTAATTATGATTCTTCTATTTCAGATGTGAAGATAGCTTGTCATATTAGCATGCCTTTGGTAACAGGTATTTTGTTGTCCAACACCAAATACGTTTTCACAAAACTTTTTTTTTTTAATGTGCAGTTCTACTGGATTTTTTATATGACTTTCTAGGCCCAGATATTGATAATTTCATTCATTGCTTTGTTATATACATTAGTAGAAATCAATTTATATATGCACATTTCTTCTAAAAGCTGCTCTTGAGGTTCAATATTGCCCTGTTTTGCTCTTGAGGTTCAATATTGCCCTGTTTGCAGAGTTGCATTGGTTCTGATGGTTCCCTTTTCAAAAAGAGATTATTCTGCATTCTGTTGAACATAATAGAAAATACCTGACAAGCTAATGGTTTTGAAGAATTAATATTAAGTTCATATGTCTTTACTTGAAATTTTGTTCACCTACAGTAATATTTCAGATTTTTAAAATTGTATATACAAAAAAGACCTAATTTCTCAAACTTACTTGTATCATCAAAAAATACAGACTACTGTAAATGGCTTTATTTATGTGAGTTCAAAGGAAACAAGTTTGACACTCCATTGTTCTTGTTCTCTGACAGAGTAGGTCAAAGAAAAAGGATTAGAAATCCAACTCTAAAATTATTATTATTTATATTCATACAGAATATTTCAGAATATATTATCTCAGTCTTCACATTCCAGCTTTATGTTGGAATTTATGCACTGGAAAAACCTGTATTGCCTGCTAGAGATTAGAATTGGTTTTGGTTTTAGATCATTATAAAAAGGAGTTTGACTATGCTGAGCTCTAAAAAGTTTAATTCCACAAAAAATTCTACATGATGTGTAACGTGTGGAAAAGAGAAAATTTCACAGTGAACTTTGTTTTGGTAGTCAAACTAAAGGTTTTCTGTATTTCTTTATATGACTTCAACATATGAATTTATAGGAATCGCTGAATTTATTTTTTGAGGTTTTTTTTTCTGTTGGCTCTTTGTGGCATTAACAGACTGTTAAAATGCTGGTGCTAGAATTAGGACTATACAAAAATTAGCAAGGATTCATGGCACACAGCTCTTGGAAAGGCTGGGGAAACATTCAGAGGTTTGGATTTCTTTGAATCTGGAGGTTGCATACCTTGGGAATAAGAAGTGCACCATGTCTGTGAGCCCCATTGAAGGGGAGGGGAATGAGTAGGGAAAATTGGAAAGGATGCAGCTTCTTTCTGATGCTAGTTTGCAAACTGATATGTGTCTGTGCTGTGGTGGAATCAGTTCTTTCTGAAGAACACAAATGTTTGCAAGTCCTGTGTCTCAGTTCTTCACAAGGCACTTCTTGAGCTGTCAGCTTTTGCAAGAAAAGCCCTTATTTATGTACATATAGTTTTAAATGCAAGCTCATTGACAGTAATTTTTAGATCGTTACCAAATGCTAGATATTATAGATGAAAAAAAAATGGTGGGGGAATCACTTAAAAATCACATTAAGAGAAAAAAAGTCTTTATAGTACAGTCAGAAAATAGAACTCTGGTATTACAAACCTGAAAGTAAAAATTATGTGTTGATTAGGGACATTATTTACCACTAAAAAGCTAGAGATGATGCACCAAAAATAATCCAGGATGTAGGAATGTTTATTAGCTGTCTCC